TTTGACAAAGTTTTTAATTAAAATTATTGCAGATTTGATAAAAATTAATAAAAGTTGCGGGTCTCATAAAATGTAAAATTAAAACGTATTTTTGACTTTAACCTCAAATTTTTTGCAACTTTTAAGTTATCTCAGACAAACAGATATCGAATTTGCTAGGCATATTGGCAGTCATAATGGCACACAAAACTATTATCTTTAAAGTAAATTATGGAACATTATATGTTCTTTCCCATGTGAGTCAATTTTAATAAGTTGGTCACACTGAATAAAGCTGTCGGATGTATCAATTAGGAAAAATGGCGGGACTAGTATAAGTAACACATCTAAAAGAAGTTAACTCGAAATCAGTTGACAAGAGGTAATGTAACGCCTCGCCACCGAGGCTCAATTCATTGCCCACGTGGGAACCTGAGCAGTCTACATCATCAAGATAAAAGACAAACCGAAGCCCAAGAAGAAACAGTGCTTCAACCGAAGTGCTATATATGGTGTGTTTGATCCATATTATTTTGGAAGAATGTATTCTGGAATAATAGATTGATGGAGAATTTGTGGTTGAAAAAGAAGGAAAAGTTATTGATGTGATGAAAAATATTATTTTATTGAAGAATGTATGGTTGAAAATGAATAGAAGAATGAGAACGAAAATTTTAATGTGTACCAAACAGGGGCATAATAATTCAAACTTGATCAATGAGAGGAAGCCCGTTGGCCGAAGCCCCTTTCACCGAAGCACCCCCAGCCCCTAAGAGCTTTGGACTAGAAATGTTTCCCAAGAAAATCCTTACGAGAAGATCTTGTAAAAGCAATGGATGTGACAACCTGCAGCCCATACACGTCCAATTGTATCAGCTTATTGTTTGAGAGTGTAGATATGGACTATATTGCGGCTTCCCTTTTTCAAGAATAATTAAGTGCAACATAGGCGAAGTGGGTGATGGTACGTCTACGATGGGATGCACCAGCAGGTCGGATGAAGCCACATATACTTCATCCAACGGCCATAGCTTCAATGTCAACACTATAAATACCCTCTCTTGTATCATTTAAAGGCTAATGCTATTCCAAATACAAAAGGCAACGCAACTCTTCTCTCTAGTCTTCACCGGATTGCTCTCAAAATATTACACCGCGTTGATTAAACCCCCGTGCTCGAACACTAGTGGCTTAATTCTCAAGAAGCGATTCTCTTTACCCCTGGCTCATTTTCTACACATGTGGACGAGAGTGGGGCCCGGGTTTCTGTTGGCTTGTTTTTAGGGGTCAATAGGTAATATTAAACAAATTCTTATCTCAGAATTCAACTGAGTAGAGTTTAAAGATTTATTTTTCATAGATATTAGATAATTTGAGATAAAATTTTGTTACAACAGTAGGTGGTTTGCTGTTCTGGCTTAATTTGGCAATCATATGTACATTTCTGGTGNTTTGACAAAGTTTTTAATTAAAATTTTAGCAGATTTGATAAAAATTGATAAAAGTTGCGGATCTCATAAAATGTAAAATTAAAATGTATTTTTGACTTTAACCTCAAAATTTTTGCAACTTTTAAGTTATCTCAAACAAACAGATATTGAATTTGCTAGGCATATTGGCTGTCATAATGCCACACAAAACTATTATCTTTAAAGTAAATTATGGAACAGTATATGTTCTTTCGCATAGACAGCTAATAGAACGTTAGTTGGATGTGACTCAATTTTAATATAGTTGGTCACACTGAATAAAGCTGTTGGATGTATCAATTAGGAAAAATGACAGGACTAGTATAAGTAACACATCTAAAAGAAGTCAACTCGAAATTAGTTGACAAGAGGTAATGTAACGCCTCGCCACCGAGGCTCAATTTATTGCCCACGTGGCATCCTACGTGAAACCCTGTCACGAGCAGTCTACATCATCAAGATAAAAGACAAAGCTAAGCCCATGAAGAAACAACGCTTCAACCGAAGCGCTATATAATAATTCAAACTTGATCAATGAGAGGAAGCCCATTGGCCGAAGCCCCTTTCACTGAAGCACCCCCAGCCCCTAAGAGCTTTGGACTAGAAATGTTTCCCAAGAAGATCCTTACGACAAGATCTTGTGAAAGCAATTGACGTGACAACATGCAGCCCACAGAGACGTCCAATGATGTCAGCCTATTGATCTAGAGTGTAGATATGGACTATAGGGCGGCTTCCCTTTTTTCAAGAATAATTAAGTGCAACATAGGCGAAGTGGGTGATGGTACGTCTACAATGGGATGTGCCACAGGTTGGATGAAGCCACGTATACTTCATCCCACGGTCATAGCTTCAATATTAACACTATAAATGCCCTCTCTTGTATCATTTAAAGGCTAACGCTATTCCAAATACAAAAAGGCAACACAACTCTTTTCTCTCCAGTCTTCACCGGATTGCTCTCAAAATATTACACCGTGTTGATTAAATCCCCGTGCTCGAACAATAGTGGCTTGCATCTCAAGAAGTGATTCTCTTTACCTGTTGCTCATTTCCTGCCCATATGGACGAGAGTGGGGCCCAGTTTCTGTTGGCTTGTTTTTCGGGGTCAACATGTAATATTAAACAAATTCTTTTCTAGGAATTCAAATGAGTAGAGTTTAAAGATTTATTATTCATAAATATTATATAATGTGGGATAAAATTTTGTAACAACAGTAGGTGGTTTGCTGTTCTGGCTTAATTTAGCAACCGTATGTACATTTCTGGCTCGTAAAGAGTTCTATAAAATACCATTTGCAGATCAACTTGTAATGACTTCGTATAACTAATTTAGATAACATCTTTTATCTATTTATTTTTTATTTTTTTTATTTTTTTATTTGGGAAGAAGTTCAAGTAGCATGATTTTAAGAATAATATGTATTCGGCATATTGGGTATTAAAAAGAATATTTGGAACTCTCAATGAAGAATGTTTGCGTAACAAGTCCTCCTTATGAATTACGAGACATGGTTGGTATGTAGCGTATCACTCGTATGCACTATGAGTATGGGATATATTTGGTATATAGTACTGGACAAGTGGACATGAAAATACCGTACTATGGAAAAGGTTTTATTCTTTTTTCTTTAATGTTGTTCTATTACAATAAAAATAGGGTTTAACAAGCCAATTTATCCAAATCTTTCTGTGTTATAATATTATTTTGAAAACTTTCGATGACAGAAACATCGTGTTGCTATTTTTATACAATTTTTTTTTTGTTATTCTTTAAATTAAAACTAACTTCTCGATTTGTAAACTTTCCATTATTTATTTCATCTAAATCTGAACCCTAACAGAGATCTTTTTTTGAGCAAGAAAATTTTCGAAGAAAGTAGGATTTGTAAATAATAGGGTCAACAATAGATATATATGCTATAGGCCAGTTCGAGCATTTTGCTTTTACGGCGGACTTTCTCATCTATAAATTTGTTGCTAATGTCATTTTTAAGAAATTAAAAAATAGCAAAAATTAAACATTTCAAGGACAAGGTCTTCACAGTTGTAGTTGTTCCTAGTAGGGTCTAATGATGTTGAGTCACTTGATCGAACATTCCCCAAGTATTTTAATTATATGATCTATTACATGCATAATTTTTAATAAGCTGTGAAGGCCCTTGTGAGGTTTATACCTGTTAGTGGGAGGAAAAGCATTGTGATACTTACATCCTAGAGATTTCCTTATATGAGTTATTTTTCAAATGTATTAAAAATGTTCCATTCTTCAACGTGCTATAACCGGATGTTTTCTGTTTAGCCCCTATTTGATGTGATTTAAAATTTAGTTAAAAATCTAAGTCAGAATCAGCAAGTAATTTTAACCATACATTTATGAGACCCACAACTTTCAACTATACATTTCATCAACTTGCTATCAAAATCTACTAAAATCTAATTTTAACTACACCAAAATTGGGGGCTTAATAAATTGTAGAATGTCCATGCAAGTTGCATGGTGTTCTCTGCATTGTATTCTCTGATATACATTGATGCTTACAAATGTTTTACAGGTGATTTTTTTCAATAAATGGAATCTTTAATTCAAGTGTCATGTCACTTGGTCATAGGCCTGATTAAGTAAATTCTTGGATAGTTCTCTTATTTTATAATCCTTTCTTTTGTCTATATATCAGAACTTGCGTCCCTCTTTTACCAGCTCTGGATTTCCAAAATTTATATTAAACTAAAGACTAAGGTCACTGTCATCCAATAAATTAAGGTCCTGTTGAATGAAT